GGTGAAGGCGGATTGAATGTGTTAAGGTATATATCCTGGACTTTCTCCTAGGGCCTGGACAATGGGACAGAAAGAATGAGCTGTTTCTTGAGATAGGCGTGAGATCTTCGTCCATCTACCTGTGATCTCAGGGAGAAGCCTGGCGCTGGTATCTGGAGAACTGACTGGAGGGGGATAGCGCCATGGTGTGTCCCATTCTCCAGGAAGAGATCGATGGGGTATTGGTAGATGGAACGTGTCTAGTTACAAAGAGCGCCAGCAGCACAGTGCCCCGGCCTAACGCCATTGCGAAGCATTGGTAGAAGCAGCAATTAAATTATATGTTCATTTAGAGGGGAAAATCATTTAGCCATTCCCTGCTAGATAGTGGGGTCATGGTCAGACTCTCTAGCAGTGACATCCCTCCTGCAATGATGTCCACTGCTACTAGTGCTCTCTTTCTTTCTTTCTTTCTTTCTTTCTTTCTTTCTTTCTTTCTTTCTTATATTTTGCCCATTGAAAGCTCCATGGAGTCAGGTCACGTGTGTTCTCATGGCTGAGTGCTGTGGGAGCAAAGAGAAGAGAAGGAAACCCTGAGCCGGTGAGATGCTGCCCATACCTCGGCTCTGAACATATGAGCTGTTCCTGACTCTGGCTGTATTAGAGGCCACCAGAGGAGCAGGGAGGGAAGGAAGTTAAATTTCTAGAACTCACTTGCCGCTACAGGAGCATTTCCCAGTCTAGGGAGCAGCCGACACTGCGGGGAAACATTGCCACCAGCTGGGGAGACCCTGCTTTAAGGGAAGCTGTATCTGAGACATACACTGTAGGGCAATGTCGCTTTGTGTGGGGTTCAAATCTGTGTTTGAAAGAGGAAGGGAGCTGGGAGAGGAAAGGAAGCTGATGGCTCTGACAAGCTCTGGGAACAAAAAGAAACCCCCCAGGCTGCCCATGACTGTGTCACCCACCGCCCCAATCAGTGCTCCTCCTCAACAGGGCTGCACCACCCTCACCCCGGTTCTGCCCTCACCCCAAATGGCACTCTCCCACTGCACTATTAATGAGTTTTTGCACCCGTGTTGTAGGTGATGCTGCTCGGCGATTCGGGCGTGGGGAAAACCTGCTTCCTGCTCCAGTTCAAAGACGGGGCCTTCCTCTCTGGGAACTTCATAGCCACTGTCGGCATAGACTTCCGGGTGAGATGCTGCAGCTTTCTGCGCTAGGGAAAGCCTCTTGTTACAGCTCAGGGGATGAGTGTGAAATAGCCCCTCTGCCCCCATTCAGATAATCATTGAATGGAAGAGGGTTCAATTAAACTGCCCTTGTGTCTTCGATTGTAGGAGCTATTGCCTGAAGAAAAGGGGTGAGCGCAGAGAGTATTCTGTGAATGGCTGATGTGATCCACATGCAAGTGGGGCTGGAGCCAGCAGTGCTGCTGCAGCTATGGAGAGTATCTCTAGTGTACAGTCTAGTGTATTCAGAGGGCACCAATCCCTGTAGTGTGTAGGCCCTGAAAGTACATTAGAATAAAGGAAGAGGAAGTTTCAGAGCCAGGTTTTGCTGTCCTGACATGGGCTTTTTTCTCATTGTCTTATATTTCCAGCCTTCCGTTTACACTTAGGGCCTGATTCTGCTCTCACTTACACTGGAGCGAATTGGGAGTTAGTCCCCTGAACTAAGCCGTGTTCCACAGCGATCGGAGTCTGGCTCTTTGAATGGAGGATATGTTCTCCCAAAGGATGTATTCTATATGATGTCGGTGTGGATGGGTGTGCAGTGTGCCTGCATGGATGCCGGAGGTTTATCAGTAGTGAAGGGTGAACCTCAGAGGTTTGAGCCAGATAAACGCCCAAACTTCTGGGCTCTTATTCCACCGTTCTGTGAACATTTGAAGCCTGCACAACTGAGCTGGACTCTAGCAATGAGCGGCTTCCTGGGGAGGAGGAGGAGGAGGAGGATTACCATTATTGATTTGTATGACCACAGCGCCTCTGAGGCCCGGGCCTGGCCCAGCACCCCATTGTGCTAGGCAGTGTACGAACACGGAACAAAAAGATGGTCCGTGCCCCAGGATGCTTACTGATCATCCTCGTTGGCAACTGGGCCAGAAACCATCTGTTCTGCTGGAACCAGCGTCTCTTGCTGCGGCTGTGCAAGGCAGAGGGGCGCAAAACTGAAGCTAGGGTTTCAGAGCGTTACCTTTACACTTCCAGCCCTCAAATGACCTCCAGCTTCGGTGTGATGAAAGGTTCCCTCTGGTTCTTGTTTTACCCAGACTAGTTCACCAAGCCCTGTCTGTAATGCAGGTGTGTGCAACTGATTATTAATGCAGGGTTGTGCCCGCGACATTGTGGGTCTGTGTGTCCTGGGATGCAGACAGGTGACCTTGTGATGCTGCAGAGGGTGGCTTGTGTCGGGGAGAGTGCAGGTGTGTGTGGAATGAAGGTACGTTCTTGATGTCCGTGACTTGACATTTTAACCTCAGGGCTTTCTATATTGCCCGTGGTAGCTCTGTGCTGAATTGTTGATACAGCACCATAGGGATACATGGTGCTTTACTACAAATACAAAGATGGAGAGGCAGATTCTGTCTCCTGCGTCAGCCCCTATGTGCTGCTTTGTTCTGACCCCCAGAGCAGCCCAGAAACTGAAGCCGCCTTTTACTCCATTCCTGTGGATTGGGCCTTATTTTATTATTATTATTTATCATTTATATTACCGTCATATCTAGGAGCTCCACATGGCCCAAGACCCCATGGTGCTAGGTGCTGTACAAACACAGAACAAAAAGACAATCCCTGCCCCAAGGAGTGTCCAATCTAAGTGTAAGACAGGAGACAACCGATGGCTACAGACAGCTGGGACTGTACAAGTGAACCATGAAACTCTAGATTGGTTAGCATGGTGGGCAGTGGTCTCTGCACACCAACAGCCGAACCATTGCTTTCTGCGGTGCTTCTCCTGGGCACGCAGCACAGTCTCTGCTCCAAAGCTAAAAACAACGTTAAGACAAGAACAAGAGGAGGAGACCCTGTTCCTGTCTCTATGCGTGGCTGGGCTGGGCAAGAGCATGCATGCAGTGTTGTGTATTCTTGCACTGTTGTGGTAGCGCTCCATGCACTGCCCTGAGGCATCAGCCAGATGCAAGCTCCCTGCGACTGAATGGAGAGCTCTACCTGGGCCTCTCTGTTTTGCATCGTGTCATTACGCTGGTGACAGGTGTTCAAGGCTAGTGTGCTCGTATTAATTACAGATGACCTGCTGCATTTAACCTGCTCATCGGATGCCTTTTTAATGCTCTCCCTACTGAGTTCCGCCAGATTTTTCATCTGCAGCCAGCTGAGGGTTTGGCAGCAGCATCCCACGTTGGCTCAACCTCTCCTTACCCATTCGGGGTCTGGCACCACCATGTCAAAATCCACTGTCAAGAGGTGCCCAGTCAAAGCAACCAGAGTATCCAGGGCATTCATTAAGAAGGCAGTCAGCCAATCAGAGAATGCACTGGCAAGTGACACCCACTCTGCCAATCATAACAACCCGAGTAAAAAGAGTATCCATTGCTAAGAAACACCCACCCAGCCAATCCAAACAAGGTGAGTATCAAGGGCCCGGAGCCTCCAACTATCCGCAGTATGAAAACACCCCCAGCAAGCCTGTTTGCACACACAGGTAGGAGCCTGAGCAGGTGGAACATGGGTCTGGATTTAATGGCACTTGCTGCTTCTCTAATATGTAGCCGGTTGAGGTTTACAGGATTTTTACTCCTCTCCTTTATTGCCACCAAATGAACCCCTTAGCTGGACAGGGCCATGTAAATTCTCGCCCAGGCTGAGGCTGCACTGAATTTTCCCATTGGTCTCTGCTTGTGTTTCTCAAGTGACTGCCTTTGTCTGTTAATCTGGGGCAATCCCGGAAATAACCCAGACCACAGCTGTGTCACTCTTGCGACTGTTAGGCCCAATCCTGCAAAGTGCAAAGCGCCTTCTTCAGCTCCCACGGATGTCAGCAGGAACTGCGGGCAGTCAGCACCTCGCAGGTTGCAGCCCATCTGTTAGCACCTCTGGCTGCCAAACAGGCCCAGAGGCTCTGAGATAAAAGCAAACCAGCCAGATTGTGGCACTGGGTGTTTCAAATTCTGTGACAAGCTGAGTTTCAGATCGGGGGAGGAGAGAGAATGTTGCAGCTTGGCGTAAAGTGCCCTGCAGGGCAGGCTGGTAACAAACACCTCCTGTTGGTTTCTTGGTCCAAGCTCTGAAGGGGGGGTTCAGGAGAGATGTTCTGTTAGATGCCTTCCTTCCATACATTATTATTTCTGGATGTCTCTGTTTTTCTGCTTCTAATGCAATCTGTCTAAGCTAGGATATTTCTAGGGTGCCCATGACCATGATGTGTGAGCAGGAATGGTGTCCCTAGCCTCTGTTTGCCAGAAACTGGGAATGAGTGACGGGGGATGGATCACTCGATGATTACCTGTTCTGTTCATTCCCTCTGGGGCACCTGGCACTGGCCACTGTCGGAAGACAGGATATTGGGCTAGATGGACCTTTAGTCTGACCCAGTATAGCCGTTCTTATGTTCACCAGCTCCCAATCTCTCCAGATGGATGTTTAAATTATAGGAAAATGCATCCTTGAGGGATGCCCAAGCTGGAAGCTTTCTCCACAGCTGAAAGTTTGAATGTTTTCAGTGGGCTCACACCATGAGTATGAGCCATTGAGTAGATTAACATCTATCTTTCTTAATATCCTGCCTTGCTATTTAGCTGACCGGAGAAGCTGCTGCAGAGAAAGGAGACAGACCTAGAAGAGAGTTACCTGTTACCTCCTCTTTTTGTCTCCAGGCTCTGAATCCAGCATTGCATGCGCCTGCATCAATGGAGCTGGTCTATACTGAACCCTGCCATAGGGGTCAAGACGCCTATGGTACCGTGGAATGCAGTATGGGGAAGGTGCAGCCCACAAAAGACCACACCCGGCGTTCCCACCATATTAAACCAGTGTGGGTTTTGTTTTCTCTTACAGAATAAAGTCGTGGCAGTGGACGGTGTGAAAGTAAAATTGCAGGTGAGTCCGGTAATTGATCCTGATGCAGCATGTGCAGTTAATACTTTGTCTGAGGGTGTCTGTACAAATAGGCGGTGGCTTTTATCTATTCTTTGCCATGTGTACACACTCCTTAATAAGGTTTGGGCGGAGGGGAAGGGAAGCCAATCTATTATCTCCCAGCTTAACTCTTGCAGTGACAGTGCACAGACAGCCAGCGTTTGATAGCTATTAATATGGACATTTCTCAGGGAGAGGTGAGCCCTTGGGGGCAAAGACTGTTCTAGGTGCAATGTGGTATGTGATATGCTATATGTGCACAATATACAACACCTGTAAAACCACCCCTTCATAAAGATCAGGGACAAAGGCTTAGTTTTTACCGACCTTTCATGCATTTGCCCCATATAACTTTGGCAACTCGCAGCCTGAAGTCTGGCTTGGGACCTCATATATCATTTCAATCCAGAGCTCCGAATCTCTTTCAGACTTGTTTTTATAACCTGGAAATCCCCTCCTACACAAGGAGCAGCATAGACAAGCAGTGGGTCCCTGAGTGCTTCCAACCCTGGCACTGACTCTGGGGTTTTGGTTCATTACCTTTTGTTACGCCCAGATGCCAACGCTCCCCTGGGATTGGAGAGCTGTGAATGAGATGAGTGGCAGTGGGGTTTCTCCCTTGGTTTTCATCAGGGCTGTTTCTTTGCAGATCTGGGACACAGCGGGGCAGGAGCGATTTCGTAGCGTGACCCACGCCTACTACAGAGATGCCCAGGGTAGGTTCTCAGGCGGGTTTGTGGTTTGCCCAATTCGGGGTCAGATGAGAACCGGAATCCGCAGACCTAGTGGAGCTGCTCTTGCCACTAATACCCAGGAACGGAATCCTCATTAAACCCCCCCTTTGTCTCTCTTCTTTTCTTCCAGCTTTGCTCCTCTTTTATGACATCACCAGCAAAATGTCCTTTGACAATATTCGGGTCAGTATCTATCCCCTTGGACCTCACTGACACAATTGTTAACTCCTAAACCAGCAGAGAAGGGCAGCAGTCTCCTCAGCCCGTTATTCCTCAACGGCTGGACTCTCTGCGCACCCAGACAGCTTTCTCAGTGCTTGAGAGAGAGCCTCCTAGACCCAGTGCAGGAGGCTGTGTTTGGCTTTCAACACGTTACACCTCAGCTTGCAAGCATGGGACTCTCCTTCCAGAGCCATCTAATGCAGCAACTCTATCCCCAGTGGCACCCCTAGCACCATAGGCACATGTCCCTGTGTCTTCACCCAGCCCTCCATGTAGCTGGCTTTCCTGTGGGATGAGATGACCTGAGTCCCAGGGGAAAGAGCTGAAGCATTGTCAAAGCTCTGGCAGACTGACATAATGGGAGGACCTGTCCTGATTCTTGGCAGCTAGCAATGCAGAACGGCCACTACTCTGCCTGTTCAGTTTGCTCTGTGTTATGATGCGATGGGCGACCTATGCCTTAGTCACAGCGGGCATAGGGGAATAGTTGTACTCTGAGTCCAGAACCTGGAATACAGAACCTAATACTTCAGAGAGGTGAGCACCCTCGGCTCTCCTTGAAACCAGTGGAGCACTCTTATCGTGGGTCATCAGCACTGAGAGCAGAGCCTCTGCTACTTGAGCTGAAGCAGAAACTCTGTTAGCTGGCAACTGTAGTAGACTATTATCCTCTCCAAGCTATCACATTGGTGATGCAGCTGCATTGGATGGTGGTAACATGAGTTGTTAAGTCAGATGGGTTTGGAAGAATTGTTCGGTGCTACACTGTATTGAAAGCCATGCACAGTCAATGGGTACCGAAGGTAGCTGGCACCATACTAAATCAGGGACCCAAAGGGAGGCTGCCTCTGAATCCTGCCGCTTGGCAGACAGCACCCTGAGGCACAGAACTGGGCGCATGATGGAGCGGGCTGGCAGATTCTACAGGACACTGAAGTGCAGGGACAAAGCATTGACTAAGGTGCCCAGAGAGGAGAGCTGGCCAGGAATTTTTTGATGAAACGTATTTTCCATCAGAAAATGGAGATTGGTCAAAACCGAAACTTTTCATGGAGAGGGATCTGTTTTACAACACTTTTGTTGAGAAGGTTTCTCAGGTCCTGGATGGAATTGCTGGTGGAGAGGGAGAGAAAGACAATGCACCACCCCAGAATAGCAAATAGCCCCATGATTTGGACGCTCCCCAGGAATGTGGCCGACCCAGGTTTTAGTCTCCTCCCCGAATCAGGCCGAGCAAGGATCTCTTTCTTTCTCTGTTTTGTTCCATGAAAAATGTTGAAAGGTCTCAGTTTCTTTCCGCATCAGAACAAAAGCAGATTTCGAATCCTTGAATTTTTTCACCAGCCATTATTTGTGTGTCCCAGAGACTGTTGGGCATAACTAAGTGTTCCAAAACTGCACGGAAATAGCAGACCATGTTCCACCCCTTTAATCTGGCTGTTGTTATGCAGGGGCCTTCCTGGCTCTCCCCACACACTTATAGTTGCATATAAACCTGCTTGTCTCCGCTGTTCATCTACCATGTGACCCTCTTCCTCTCTTGCAGGCCTGGCTCATAGAGATACACGAATATGCCCAAAAGGATGTGGTCATTATGCTGTTAGGCAATAAGGTGAGTGTCGCTTCCTGGTAAGCGACTGAGAGATGTGCTCATGTACAGCTACTCTCCTTCTTTGTTTTGTGCTGTCTGCCCCCCACCTCAGACCAAGGACGGCCCAAATCGGTACAGACTTGGCTCTGAGGCTCCACCTCTTCGTTCAGTGACACCATCTCATGGGGGGGCTTTGCCGGCCCCGTTTTGGAAGAACATGATCTCCAACCACTGCTGATCCATATCAGCTCTGACCATGCAGGGCAGCGTTCAAGCTTCTCCATTTTCCAACTTCATCAGCCTGTGTGGCCTTGTCTGTTTTTCCTCACACCCTATCTACCAAGGTACCAGGTACCTCTCTGCCAAGGTACCAGACAGAAAACTCAGCCACTCCTTGAGTTGTCCAGTAGGCACGGAGGGAAGCTCAAGAAGCTCTGATATCCCACAGACAGCGTCACCACCAGGGCCCAAACCCTGGGTTCCACTGTTTCAGCGACCTAAAGTGGATGTGACTCGCTGCCCCAAACCCAGAAGCGGGCTCCATTTTAAATTCTGTAATTCCTTAAATTGGTTCTGTGATAACACTTCGCCTGTATAGACCACTCTTCTTCTTCCAACCTTAATTACCCTCGTAGGTCCCAGAGGGAGTCTGTGTCAGTGCTGGGAACAGAATCCATGAGTTCTGAGCTCCCACTGCTGTGCCCATGTCCCTCCCTGTGACATTTACCTGGGTTTGGAACTTTCCTAAGAGAACATGGTGAGCGGTTTAAATGCTGCAAAATGACTCTTGGGTGCGTCCATGCCCACTTCTGCCAGCAGAGGGAAGCCCAAGTCAGAGTCTTCAGCAAGTGAAGCCTTGGGCTCGGTGGCTCAGCAAGTGAAGCCTTGGGCTCGGTGGCTCCGTGATGGCCTGCTAGCGCAGGGCTGATCTGTGAGTCTCTATGCCACTCCAGTAACGATTTCCCTTTGTTGACAGGCTGATGTGAGCAGCGAGAGAGTCATCAGGATGGAGGATGGAGAGTCACTAGCCCGGGTGAGCCGCCCCAGGGTTTTGCAGGGTGTCTATCATCCCTGAAGGTATCTGGTCCCTCCCTTCATCATCCTCAGTCCCATGGAGGCTATGATCTCCTTTGCTGTGCGGGACAGACCTTAACTAGGCTACTCCCTGGGATCACAGAGCTGTTTCTCTGAGCCAATCATCCATCTATCACCTCAGTTCATCCAGCTCTTAAACCACTTTCAGATTTAGACGTACTCTGGGCTGTGCTTAATTTGTGCCAGGGCTTGCCAGGGCTGAGCCCCGGCACGACTGGGCCCAGCAGTTCAGAGCCCCGGCACCTCTGGGCCCGGCAGTTCAGAGCCCCGGCACGTCTGGGCTTGGCCTGTCACAGCCCTGGCACCTCTGGGTTTGCTGCATCAGTTATGAATGTAAAAAAATTGCTTGAGCCCCAGCCGCTCTTTCATTACAAATTAAGCAGTGTCTCTGGACTGAAGGGATGAAAGTGACAGAGGTCAGATGTAGGGGAGGAGGCTAGATGGGGTGGGAGGGCAGGGAGGTTTTGGGCTATGAAATGGGGGAGGTTGAGGGCTGAAGATAGCATGTGGGGGAGCAATTAAACTGCAGTGTGAGGGAGGGTCCTGGGAGGGCTGCATTGGTGGGAGTGGTGATAAGCATTGGAGCAGTGTGCAGTACAAGGACGCACCCCTCAGCCTGCCAAGGTATGTGAGAGACCATTAATCCATCTGCTCAGTGGGGTGGACAGAACAAGGAGCAATGGTCTCAAGTTGCAGTGAGGGAGGTCTAGGTTGGATATTAGGAAACACTATTTCACTAGGCGGGTGGTGAAGCACTGGAATGGGTTACCTAGGGAGGTGGTGGAATCTCCATCCTTAGAGGTTTTTAAGGCCCGGCTTGACAAAGCCCTGGCTGGGATGATTTAGTTGGTGTTGGTCCTGCTTTGAGCAGGCGGTTGGACTTGATGACCTCCTAAGGTCTTTTCCAACCCTAATCTTCTATGATTCTTCTATGATATGGTCAAATGAGGCTCCACCAAAACATTAGCCGCCTCCTCTCCAGATCCCCAGAGAGACCCCTGTTCCCCTCCCCCTTGGAGGGCCTCTGATCTGCTCTCTCCTTTCTGGAATCCTTGATCTTCCTTCAAACCAGGCTGCCCCGGAGTAACCAGCTGTGCAAGTCCCTAGCGCCACCCCTGATTGCTCTGCCTCAGGGTGCTGTTCCGTCTGGGGCCTCTTCTGGCCAAGGGCCAGACCCAAGGAACCGGCTTTAATCCCCTGAGTTTGGCTTTGCTGGTAGATCGGCGGGGGGCATTTCAGAAGAGGACGGGAGCTAGAGGAAGGGGTAGTAACTGGCAGTGCAGTGGCTGATGGTGCTATGCCCCCTCTGCAGGAATACGGAGTGCCTTTCATGGAGACCAGCGCCAAGACGGGCATGAACGTGGAGCTGGCATTTCTGGCTATTGCCAAGTGAGTAACTGAGAGACTGAAAGGGCAGCTTCCCAGACCAGGGCTGCCTTCCCATACCGAGGAGCATTGATTTAACATGTGCACACAGAGTTGGGAACATGTGCCTCTAGGGAAGGGAGATATCTTTGCCTTCAAAGGGGAAGTGTCATCTAGTGGTTAGAGCAGGGGATTAGGCACCAGGGCTCTTGGGTTCTACACACTCACTGTGTGGGCAAGCTGCTTAACCTCCTATGGTTATAAAATTGCCCTATTATTAAGCTTAACTCATCGATGTTTGTAAAGCATGCACACCTGGGCTGTCCAATGAGGGGGTCTGATGCTTTCCTTTGAAGCAGTTGGCATTCGCCCAGGGCAGGGACAGGTTGCAGGTCTGCATTGGCTGCTGGTCGGCTCCCGTCCAGCACTTCCTATGGGCAAAGTCTATAATGCTCAGACACTTTCCTCTAGATTGGAATAAAAAAGCATCAGAATCCCTGAGAGCTCTTGGACCACAGCCTCAGCTGGTGTAAAGGGGCAGAGTTCCGTTGACTTCGGCTGAGGATCTGGTCCCCTGTCTCCTTTGTCCCCAGACCTTGTTCTGCTCTCAGGCTGGGGATCCAAGTTCTAGCCCAGAGTTAATTTTTGACAGTCAGGTCACAAGCCCGTGAATTGCCACCTAATGTCCCTGGGATGTGGGTCCAGTTCCCAGCGGCACTTCAAAAACCCCACTGCTTTCCACCGCCGACATGCCAGCTGCAGCAGGGGCCAGGGCAAAGGGGCTGAAAGGAGGCTATGCTGCTGCTGGCGACTGATTCACAGAGGTACAGTCGAGCTCCACCACAAAATAAAAAGATCAAAGGCTCCTTGAATGTTATCCCAGTGCTACATCGTGCAGGTCCATTGCCAGCAAGTGGAATTAACCCTGTGCTAACACATCTGTCCCATCCACAGCGCCTAGCCCTCCAAGATACAATTCTTCGTAGGGTTTTGTTTCACCTTCCCCTGAATTCATGCTGCTTCCCTGGCTGGAGCTCAGTATCTCCCCGTCCATGTGGCTCTTGGCCTCCTGCACACTGGCTAAGACTTGGCCAGATGTATTGTCTGGCAGAGAGGGCTGGAGTGGGCTGAGGTTGTCGCCTCCATGGCACATCCATTTCCTGCTCGGGGAAGGAGCACAGGCCCAGATCTGCTCCAGGAGCTGAGCCACGTGTTCCACCCTCTCATCACCACCCCCTGGAAGAAAAAGAGGTGGAGAGCATCACGTTCACCGTTCTTCAGAGACGCACAGCTGCTTCTGCTGGGTGAGGGGTGGCTGGTGCGATGTGTCACCGCTGTGTTTCTTTCAGAGAACTCAAGCAGCGAGCTGTGCAGCAGCCGGACGAGCCCAGATTCCAGATTCGGGACTACATAGAGTCACAGAAGAAAAAGTCCAGCTGCTGTTCCTTCATGTGAGAGAGAAGGATGGCAGGGTAGGAAGGAGGACTCGGGGCACAGGGGCCTGGTATAATGCAAGAGCAAGGCGGGGCTGGAGAGGAAACTGGTCAGATTCCTGTCCTCAGGAGATGCTCTAAAAATATTTCTGACCATAAATTACAAACAGGAAAAAGGCAAACCTACCCTGAGAGGGGGCAGGGTGTGTGTGGACGTGCACGAGTGTGGGCGGCTACGGGGAAGTTACAACAGAAGCCAAATAAAGGCCAGTTCTGGGTTTCGCCTGACTAGCAAATTTTACAATGTGCGAGTCTGACCTTCGGGGAGTCACTCCTGGCAGCACAGCCAAAGCCCTGCCTCTCGGGAGTGGCTTGTGTCAGCCTCGCCTGCATAGCCAGGACCCCAGTGATCAGGACTTGGCTGGTTCGGCCTCCAAACAAGCCAGGGCCCAGTGTCTATCTGGACTGGGCCAAGACAATGTTGGCTGCAAATCCAGTGCCCCATTTTCAGGACGGGACCAAGTCATCCTCAGCAGCGTAGCCACGGCCCTGTATCTATCTGGATTGGGCCAGGTCAGCACTGCTGCACAGCCAGGGTCCCGCACCTTTCCAGTCCAGAGTCGCCACCTTTCTGACCAGTTTCCATGGGATGTCTCTGCTCTGGAGTCTCACCAGGCTGAGGGGGCCAGGGCAGCGAACAGAGCAGGAAGAACCATTTCTCACTCTCTTGCATTAGCAGATGAAGTTTTCCTGCAGTGAAGGAAATCAGCAGGAGTGTTTGCTAAAGGAAGAGGAATGGGAGACCTTTTCCCTGTGACATCTGGTCCCTCCCCATTCCCCTCACCTCCCCCAGACCCCTCTTGTGTGCCCACTTCCTCCTGCCGCTGAGCATGTCCCAAGCAAAGGACTTGGGGTGCTCAGTGTTATTACAGTGCCTGTTATGTTGGAAGAAAGCTGCCGACCGCAGCGTTAGTGGAGAGAAAGGAGATCACTGTCTATTTTTCTGACTTTAAAAAGAAATGTTTCAAATCTGCTCTTATTTATATTTATCTCAGGCCAAACCTATATTTAATCCTTTACCAGAGACCAAGTCCAGCATGCCACGGACGCGCTCTGGACCCCGCCCCGCCCCTGTTCTAAAGCATTGGCACCCACGCTGCTAAGGTGGGGGTGAGCATGAAGCCAGCATTGCCAGCCTGTTTGGAAAAAGGCTGTGGCCACTTGCTGTGGAATCCACCCCCTGGCAGCCACCAGGACAGGGGAGGTCTTATTCTCCCAGCTCATGCCATTGCACTCCCCTGGTCGCTCTCCTACCGATGGCGCTAGGAGCTGCACCTCTTGCTGTTGAAATAATACTGCTAAAAATTAAGGGCCTGATCCAAAGCCCGCTGATGCCTTTGAGAGTCTCCCCATTGATTTCACTGGGCTCTGGATCAGGCCCTAATTGCTGAACGACCTGGTGTTTCGTGCTCTCAAAGGCAACCCCCTGCTGCCTCTCTCCAGGCATAACCTTGAAGCTGTGACACAAATTGGTCACAACTGCAGAACAGGAGGCTTTGACCCTCTCTCCCTATTGCACCCCCGTACGCCTGGCTACTGCAGCACATGTGGTGCCTTTGATTACGCAGCATTCTGAAGGCCCTGGAGCTCACCAGGGAAACACAGGGCAAATGAGTGATATGGGTCCTGCCTTAGGTTTGGTTTTCCTCAGGAGTGCTCAGGGAATTGATAACAGGGCACAGAGCCTTTGACCTCTAGGCCACCAGCTCAGCTACCATTTTAATTCTTACTGAAGCCCAGGGCAAGATTCTCTCTGGCTTGAGTGAGAGGCAGATCCAGTCCAAAGTCAGCAGCGCTGATAGTTACCACCATCTTCTGGCTCTGGGGAGTGGCCTGTGTGAAATGAGTCTCTGGCCGGTTCCTATGAGACGGGTGTGCACAGGACAGGAATAACCCTTGCATTTGGCACCGAGTTGTCAGCAGAGTGGCCAAGCTCCAAATGGGCACGGAGAGCAAGCTCCCCTTTTACTCCCAGGCATATTGATGGGAGATAGTGGGAGAAGGCTCCTCCCTACTGCCCATACAGTAGCTCTTTTGTCGGTAGCTAGAGACCCTCCGTCTGCCAAGCTCCCGAGCCAGCACTTCAACAGCTATTCTTTTGTAGAGTTTAGATTTCCTGACTGTGGCCCATGTGTGTCACCTTTACCATTTGTCTGGTTTTCATTTCTCTAGTGAAAGTTGCAAACCCCTGGTGATTCCCGTGGCCCCATTCAGCAAGGCACTGAAGCACATGTTTTACGTGAGTCCCATTGACTTTGCTGAATTGGGGCCCTGAGAATGACTGTGCCTTACTCTCTCTAGGTACCTGTCTCGTCTGTGTGTGCAGCATCTGTCTCGTGCCTGTTGTATATAAGGCTATGGAATAATTACCCATTAGAGTTACTGGGCCAATATTTCTTTTGTCCGTATGCTTAAAAAAACCAAAAAGGCCCTGTCCCTCCAGGAACTGGAACTTTTAAGGAAAGTCAATTTATTTGACCCCCTAACAGCAAAAGCTATGTCTACACTACAGACTTCTGCCAGCATAGAAATATTGGGAAGAGATGTGATCCCTGACCAGCATAGCTGTGCTGGCCAAGGTCTATAGTGTAGACGCAATTATACAAGCAAAACTGTCCTGTTACCCGTGTAGCTTGTTTCACTTGGGCGGTGTGGTTTCACTATACTGATACAAAGCACAGCTTTGCTGGTAGAGCTGTGTCCATAAGGAGCGCTTTGCTGGTATAGCATACCAGTATTCCTACACCGGTAATGCGCTCCTAGTGTAGACAAGGCCTAACTCACACCAAGGCCAATAGGACCACTGGAGTGACAGAGACTAGCAGGAATTGGCTCTAGTTGGTCACATTGGCTATTATGCTCTGTCAGATGAGAACAGACTTTTGCAGCATGCGCCTCATCACAGCAGTGCCCTGTAATTATTAGTATCATCTAGGGCAGTGCCCTGACGCTGCTTAATAAGCCCATGGATGGGAGGATTGACTTAACACTGAAATGCTTTAACTAATAATTAAATGCTCCAGAGAGGAAGCACAAATGTCGTTTGCCAAACCAGTGCTGGAGTTAGCCTGTAGAACAGCATGATAGAGGCATCAGGGAGATCTTTCATGATTGTGTCACTTTTTGATTTGTCCATTACTTGCATGTTGTATTTTTTATTCCTGTGGTTGAATTTGGTGCGTTTTATGCACAGTTCTCCTCATCCAGTCAGTCAGAGCTTCACACTAGCCTGAGCGGTTCTCGGGATACAGGGCCCTGCTATTTGTTTCCCCTTGACTTGAAATCTCAGGAATGTTTTCTTCACAGGGTGCAAGTCCGTTACCTCCCCCTGTGCTTTGCCAGAGACGGGCATTACCGATTTCACCCTCAGCTCTGCACCTGTGCCCCGCACTCAGCACAAGAAGGAAGGATCATGTGGGGATTTAAACTTGTACCAAGTCTTCATGTTAGTCTATGGAACATGCTGCTGAGCTGTCTGAAGAGGGAGTGCAGTATCTGGGAGGCTAATTCCTGGTCCAGATTAAGGCTTTGAATCAGAGCAGAGGCGATAACACAGGAGATTTATAAACTCCCACCTATGAATTTTGTTTGCCTTTCCTTTTGGTCTATCTATATAATGCAAATCTAGATTAAACCCACTCTGCAAAGAACTGATGCCTCAGACACCTCAATCAGCAAACACTTTATATTGTGCTTGCCTATGAATTTTGTGGGCTTGATCTTGACCCCTCCAAAATCAATGGGAGTTTTGCCACTGAGTTTAAAGGGAGCAGGAGCAGGTCCTATGTGTAAGTTTTAAAATCAACACTGCTGCCCTTATGCTTCATTTTACCCTTTCTTTAGACCTGTTTCTACTGGCATCAGTGTCAAAACTCCCATTCAATTTGATGGGAACAGGATCAAGTCCTTTGTCAATAAAATCAGTCACCCTAGCGTCCCATGTTATCACATTAGCCAGGATCCTAGAAAGCAATGATAGGAAAAAACCCCAAATACTTTTGTTGACTATCTTCTTGTTTACATAGTTCATGTATATCTGCCAAGTCATGAATGTTATGGAATGACACTGCACTGAACCATTCCACATGGGAATCTCTGCTGTGGCAGGATCACACCCAGGACGTCCATTCCCTGGCACACGTTCTTGAGCTTCTCTATGTTATCAGGGCGATGCCTTTGCCTCAGCTGTTGTTCACGGATTATTGTTTGCAAGTTTACAGAATTAAAGCTCAGTATTTTGGAGAGTAAATGTGTCCGCCTAGTTCTTGGCATGAGCAATTTCCAGCTCAGATCGTTAGAGAAGAGAGCGAGTGTTGCTGGGTGGGGTCTGCATTGCAATATTTGCTGGGCATTAGAGAAGTCGGATGTACAATGCAAGTCCCGGAATCTCTAGTGTGCGTTTGCCTAGCCCCCCGTGATTTCACTGCACATTTCAGAGTCCAAAGGCAATTGGGAAGAGTAAACATGATCTGTTAAATTAAAACCAACCTCCTCCCCCTGCTGGTCTCATGGTGCAGAGTCTAGCATTCCCCAAATACCTTTGTCTTCCCACCAATAGAATTGCTTCTGTAGCTAGGCTGATGCTTGCAAAAAAAAAAAAAAAAAAAAAAAAAAAAAAAAGAAGAGAGATTTTTTTTTTTTTTTTTTTTTTTTTTTTTTGCAACCTAAATTTTGATCTTTCTTAACCTAATAAGCAGCTGCTGGAAAGAAAAAAACAAACAAACCCTGACTGGGAAGAGACCAGGGAGGCGAAGACACCAATCAGCAAAATAAACATTGGTTCAGAAAGCTGCCACATTCTGCTTTACCATTCCGTTCCTGAATTGCAGGGGATATGGTGGGTTTCTTTCCTTCGCTCTGGTGGTTTTCATCTCCCTCTCTCTGTACGGTGCTAAAGCCATCCCTGCCACCACTGGCTTGTATTTCCTGGCTTATACAAATATTCCTGAAAAGCACATTTTTTGCTTGACGAATACATCAGCTTGCACTACTTTTCAGGGGGAGGATGTGTATCATGCTTGCAAAGCATGTTCCCTCTTGTGGCTGGGCCTCTTCTTTGATAGCCTACTACTGCTGCTGCCAGTTAATAGAGTTACTCATCTAGCTGTGGAGGTCCATTCTACAGTATTGACAGTCCTAGGTTTAAACCCTGCTGATAACCCTTAAAGGAGGTAATTACAGATGTGCTTCCCAAGCCTCCTTCTAAGGCCTTTATTTCCACTCTGCAGATTACTCAGTGCTTCATGAAGGGCTCTCCTTAGAACTAAATTGGTTCTTCAGTTGCCTACCTGTCTTATATAGTGAAATGATATGAAAGATGACCCACTTCCCAAAGGACATTCATCCTGCTTGAATTTTAACTAGCAGTGGTAGGGCACGAAGTCCACTTTGCTGGAGTTCCCAGTTGACATTACCAGCTCTGTGTTGCTGTGATTCTGTTAAGCAGACTAATCATTGTATAAACAAACTGCAGAAGGGTTAATTAAAGCTCCTATCTATTCCACAGGAGCTTCTGTCCTTGCATTTTTAATTGTGTCCACGCAGCTGAAGTTGCGGCAGTCCTTCACTCTGTTCAGCAGATGATGATGTTCACATATGATGGAAAAGAAAGGGGGAGACCCAGAACAAACAAAAACCTAGATTTAATTTGCATTTTAATTTCCTTTAAAAAAACTGTTAAGGGTTTTTCTGCCTCCCTGTTTAAGCTCAGAGGGATTTCTGGCCAGGCCTCAGAGTAAAAGCAAAACCACCCAAGGTGCTCAACTATTACTTGCTGCCTGTTCACTTTCAGTTTTAGCTCTGCTGTTGCTGTACATGTAAGCATCTTCTGACATGGCCTGGGGGAGGGGATGGGGCATGCACCATCACCAGAATAGTGCACCGCACTATACACAACTGGTGTCAAATGCACAAAGTAAACATAATGGGGGGGAGGGGGATATCTAATTTGACTCTTGGGTACAGTGATCATAGGGGTTACAAGTTATAATAATAAGTGCAGCATTTTCAGATCTGAATGGGATTTTTCAAGTTGATTGTGTCCCTTCAAATGTCCTCTTTTAAAATGTTAGACTCAAATAAATATGGAATAATGGACAGGCAAAGTCACCAGGAGGGAGGATGCTGAGAACTGCTGTGCTCCATTACTTCAAGATTTCTGGATTCCATTACCTTCTCAGTCAAGGAGAGAGGAATTGAAGTCTAATGGGACGTCGTGAGCAAGGGACACTCCATATTAGATTCTTAAATGTATGTCCCGAGTAATTTTTGTCTCTTGAATAACAGAAAGCCGCTGCTCCCCTTTTGCCTAAACAATAAAGCTGCTGCTTCATCCAGCTCCCAGACTCAGTGTTATCCTTAGTGTTTACCAAAAAGATGATGTTGGGTTCCTAAAGGCTAAAGGGCCTCTCACGATGCTATTTGGAGTGGGGTTGACTTACAACATTAACCTCAGGCAGCCCACAAAGTTTTGCTATTTTCATAAAGCCACGTTATAGATGAACAGACAAAGTCCTTTTAGCAGAGTTGCAAAGGGAAACTCAGGGGAAACTGAGCTGGAATTTGGAGAAAGGGAGAGAAATTTTTTTTTTAAGAAGAAAACAGCACAAGGCTAACGATCCCAGCCTCATCTGGGTGTTCCAAAGAAAATAACCTCCCCCCCGCAGTCTGTGTCATTGCACCTATACAACCTTTACCAAAGGGGGAAAAGTCCAGCACCAAATCTGTAAAACTGCCAGTCCACGTGCAGAAACAGACTAGTGTCCTCAGCAGCCTAAAGTCCATGGTGTAATTTCATCTTCTCTCCTCTCCTCTCCACCTAATTTGACTAAGGAATCTAGCGTCTGATATTGTTTCAGCTTATGTGATTCCTGTTGCTATAGTAAATACACAAGTTCAATTGCTTCTGGAGGCCTAGATTCAAATCTGCCAAAGGCAGCCATTTCAGTGAATTTGGTGCCATCCGTCATCTCTAAGGGATATTAGGCCATCTCAAAATGAGGACACCGTTGAGAGGACAGGAATAGCAAGAGTGTTATAGCATAGGTTTGGGATGCAATGCACGAGCTGTGTGTGTCCCTTAGCTGGATGAGGAGGTGTGTTGGGGGTCAGCACTGGGCCAAATCAGGACTGCTTCCTGGGTGAGTCATTTTGTTCATGAAAATGTTCACAGATCCTGCAAATGTCATTAATTTAAGCATGGCTGATGCTTTCTCCAGGAATTCATGCCTGATACCTGTTACTCATTGTTCTCCTATTCAAAAAACGCAGTTATCCAATCAGAGAGCAGAAACAATGCCATGTGACTGAAACATCCTACACCTCAGATAGTCATTAGTCAAAGACAGAATTAAAGCAGATAGTTGGAGCAGCCCATGGGGCTGAAAGTTGCTCAGAGAAACGATTCTGTGAACTGGAGTAACGAATAGGTTAGTAGGACCCGGGAGCTGTTCAAGAGCATTCTGAAACCGAAATGGGGGCTACACTTGCAATTAAAGAATTTTTTTCACTTCAAGGTCCCAGAAGCAAAGACAAGGTTTTCATCTCCAGGCCAAAAGACCAAAAACATCAAGACACTTGATCACGGCCTTGGATAGACCAAGAGACTACCTACACTTGACCAGAGCTCGGAGAACCGAGTAATTCAACCAGTTCCTAATGTGAAGCCCACAACTCCCAAGCAACTAGGCCACCACCACAGTCAGATCCAGAGCCACTTGTACTGAACAGATTCCGATGCTGGCAGAAGCTGTTCGGAGAAAGTCACTTGTGAGCGGTCAGTGAGCAGCTCGGGGTGTGTCATTGAAAAGGGAGGATGAGTCAGCCGAGCCTCCTGGGGCAGACCCTGCTCATAGTGAGGCTGCAGGGAGGGTTACTCAAGTTGCCCCACGCCTGCTCCTCTTAGACTCCCTGTCTCTGATGGAAGGAAGTTCCCCGCCCTGCAGAATCTTCACTCTTGCTACTTTGTGACCCTTCTGCTTCCGGAGAACTTTCCTTGCAGGCGGGAGGCTCAGCAGCCAGCCAAGACGTTGAGGGTGGAGTGAGGCTATTTCCTCCTATTTGCATAATCCCGCCTTCTCGAGGGTTGGATTCACTCCCGGGCTTCATGGGTAGCGTCATCTCTGCTCAGCTCCTCCCCCGCCTAACTCCGATTGGCCCGGCGTCGCCCCGCAGCCCCCCTCGGACCCGCCCCCTGCTATAAAGGACGGTGACAGGCTCTGGAACGCGCGGACAGAGAGCAAGGCGGGGATTGGTGCGGCTGGTTCGTTACGTACCGGGCAGCGGCGGTCTCCCTCCTGGTGCACGGTCTCCGCGCGGGACCCCTCGTGCGAGACTCCGCCCCGGGGACACCTGCTGCGGAGAGCCGGCGCTGGAGCGATCCGCCCGGATCCTCGCGGGGGTGCAGCGGGTTCGAGCTCCCGGGATCGCTACCTCTCGGAGCCGCCGATCTCCTTCCACCCTCCCCCGGGAACATGAGTGACGGGGCGGGGAGCGAGCGGCAGCTGCTGCCCCGGCTCTGCCGCCTGGAGAAGGGGCCGAACGGCTACGGCTTCCACCTGCACGGGGAGAAGGGCAAGGTGGGCCAGTTCATCCGGCTGGTGGAGCCTGACTCCCCGGCCGAGACGTCGGGGCTGCGGGCCGGGGACCGGCTGGTGGAGGTGAACGGCGAGAACGTGGAGAAGGAGAGTCACCAGCAGGTGGTGAGCCGCATCCGAGCCGCCCTGGGCGCCGTGCGCCTGCTGGTGGTGGACCCGGAGACAGACGAGCAGCTGCAGAAGCTGGGCGTCCAGTGCCGGGAGGAGATGATCCACGGGCTGCCCGCCGCGGGGCAGGAGAAGCCGGAGGAGAAGCCGGAGGAGAAAAGTAACGAGGAGCCGCAGGAGGCACCGAGGGAGGAAGCGGAGAGGCCAGACGGGGAGGAGAAGAGCCACCCTGCGGAGCGGGTAAATCTAGGTCATTCCCGGGGAGGGGAGGGCGAGCCCTTGGGGCTAATGGCGAACTGCGGGCGGGGAGAGAGCAGCGAGTAAGCCGCAGGTACTGGGGAGAAAGGAGTGGGGGAGATCGCGGGGGGCCAGGGTTTAGGCAGAAGGGGGAAGAGCTCCGACAGGTTTGGGACTAAGGGGGCCAGTTACGGTGCGGGGGGGGGGCAGGGTCTGGGTGAGTGTAACTGACTTTGGTGGTCCTCCAAATACCCTATAG